GTCCCTCCATTCGTTGGAAAAATATAGAGACGTAAAACCACAAGTTGGAGGAGAAGCTCGGCCGAAAATCGTTTCGGCAGTTACAAATCGCCAATTATATACGAGCATATATTGTATATATATGCCGTTTATCTCCTACAGCTCATCGTTCCATTGGCTGCGGTATTCGTCCCAACTAACAAGGGATCATTAATCTTAAGCAAAACCTTTCTTTCGAAAACTCCTAACGCCCTAGATGGGCGAAACTCCAAAGTTATGACTGTCAACAGTGACGTGGGAGCCGATTCGGAGAGGCCTTCCCGATTCTGACGGAGCTTTTAGTGTTGCTTAGGGTCCCAGCAAAAGGATGCCAAATTCAGACATAGCGGCGTAGCGGCAGCTCCTTTACGTACTGTCGAAGGCTGCTATAAAATCAACGAAAATGTGGTGTGTGTCGATCCTCTTTTCACGGGTCTTTGCCCATATGGTGAAAATTTGGTCAATGGTTGATTTGCCAGGTCTAAAGTAACGCTCATTAGGTCCAACCAGTTTGTTGTCGGTGGGCTTCAGTATTTCACACAATACGCTCGACAGGAGCTTATAGGCGATACTAAGTAGGCTTATCCCACGGTAACTGGCACAGAATGAAGGGCCCCCTTTTTTTATGGATTGAGCAGAACATACCTAGATTCCAATAGTCTACGCTTTCGTCCAGCCAAATTCTGCAATGAAGCTGATGCATGCACCTTATCAGTTCTTCACCGCCATCTTTGAAAGCTCGACCGCTTTGTTGTTTTTAAAACTGGCGATTGCTATTCGCACTTTTTCATAGTCAGGTAACGAAACGTATTTTCCATTAATTCGATTGGGATTTCGGGTTAACTTTCTCCGGGTGTTTCATTTTCACTGCCATTCAGCAGACTGGAGAAGTTTTCCTTCTATAAATTCAACATTCTGATCACCTCTCTGTGTTATAAAAGAGTATTCTCCGGTCGTGTTTCTTCTTTTTTTTGTCGGGCAAATGCGTGTGGCTTCTTTCTTCACCTCTCGCTATCTATCCCATGCCGTACGATTCATATTCTTAGCTGAAGTATTTATGACCCGAAACCACAAATCTGAAAAATCGGTTGTATGGGAGCTATATGTCATAATTTTCTGAACTACCCGGTTCAGAAAAATGATTAAAAGAATATAGAAATACATCTGCTCACCAAGTTTTGTCGAAAATTTTCAAAAACTGAGGAACTAGCTTGCGTACGACCAGATAAACATGGCTAAATTAAATCATCAGCTAATTATACTGATCATATCTTTTCTTCTTCTGGTATTTAAATACTTTGAAGAAAAGGAATTATATATCGGGGGGCAACGCAACAACAAGCCAAGGGCGCAAAATAATCCGCTTACCAAAAGTTGCCTTCAATAAATTGATTGCTTCGTTGACTGTAGGGAATAAAGCGACATCCTGTTGGAGCTAAAAGCCGTCCACATCAACATTCTTCAACTCAGACACGAAAAAGTTACTAATTATGGCTCTTTTCCCAATGACTGTAGCATTATGGTCGCCTTCATTTTGATTTCACTAATGATTCCCTCTGCCCATAGAGTACATAGTACAGTGTTTTTTGAGGATGTAAAGGCGTCTTAGTAATCGCTTGTGGATTGTGATCACTCCAAATGCGATAATTATTAACGTACCCATTCAACCAAAAGTGAGCTTTATCGCTGAATCCATTCACCGAAAGTGCGAAGCGCTTAATTCCTGCACGAGTTTATACTGTACGATAAAAAAGCACCCTTTATTTGCACCGAAATCCTAAGATATATTTAAAAATTGAAAAGCTTGATCGAACTTTAAATAATTTCATATTAAGCGTTCTTGGCTTCACTGAAAGCGAATCTTCATATGTACCTCGTATTAACGGGTTTTGGAAAAACATAAACGAAAATGTAAACCGAATGCAAGAGAAATAAAAGTGTAAAAAAATGTAGGTATGACATGTTAAAGAACAAGAAGATATTTGGTGGCCAATGCCCAGGGTATGTTGAATGTGTTTATGAAGTAAATATTATATAATATCCCCGATAGTGCCCGAAAAGGAGCCTCCTCTATTTGGCAATTAAGAAGAGAAATACCTACATAAAATTAGATCATACTGAGCATATTGAACAAGCAAATAATACGTACATTATGACCAGATCTCGTCTTTTCCAAAATTCGACGTTTGGCTCATCATGAGTTCATTCCAATGGGACAAATTTTTTTACCGCTTTGAGGAGCTTGTGCGAAAATATCCATTATGGATTTTTCATTACGATAATGCGCCATCGCATCGAGATGTAGTTCTGAAGGATTTTAAGACGATAAACTTGTTAAATACTTTCGATAAACCAACGTATTCACCGGATTCGGGCCCCATGCGACTTTTTTTTCTAAAACTCAAGTGGGACCTGTTTCGATTCGGCTGAGGAACAAACTAGTTGACAGATCGCGCTTGTTTTTGGCATAGTAATTAAGAACAGTGCTGCCAACTTAACAAAATAAAAGAGCTGAAAAATATTCTGCGCGGGCAGTTCATAAGCCAATTTCCATAAACTTTCTGGTCTTAGTTTGCCATATTTTAAAAATTAAATTAAAACTTTATCTGTTAACAAAATAAATATGTAACGTATCTTTTTTCGAGAATTCAAAACACAACCCCAACCAAGGCCTCTCTCCAGCTTGGGACTTTAAAAGTATGAATTCAATAATCTATTATTAAGATTTGTTTTTGAGCTGGTTTTCTACCTGCCAAGTCTCAAGTCATAGTTATTCCATGCAAATCGGTTTCTAAGAAATTTTTTTTTTCTCAATACGGCCCAAATACCATGGAGTTAAGTGATGTGGAAACCAAACTTAAAAAATGTTTCGTTACCAAAGATCAGTAGGAGCAGATGTAAAAATTTCGCTTCTTTACTCAAAAATACTCTTTAATTTAGGAAAAACTTGAAAAAAAATTATTTGGGTTATCCATTTCGTTGTTTCAAAACCACAGGGGCTGTATTTTGTCATCTGGCAAATCCAACTGTCTAACCAAACATGTTCTACTTTAGTTCAAAATCAGGTATTTATGATAATAAATCATCTAGCAACTGAACAGCGCTTCAAATTTGTTAAACGTCACCACGTTTAGTACTTTAAGATGAGAATATGGTGCACAAAATCGGCCAAACAATCAAAAAATTTTAAGAGACTGGATCGGTCACAGATATTGTGAAGCCTGTGAAGCCAGTGCATCATCGCCTTGAGCGTTCCACCTTAAATATACCTGCGGTAAGTGAAAGTGTAGCCGAAGTCCAGCATGTGTCTAATACTCGAACTAACTCTTGAGCACTTGAAAACCAACGTTCATCAAGTTACGGCTGAGATACCACTCAAGATGTGCCATAGTGCTAAATGGTCGTAAATTATCTCAAACGGATCGACGTATACAAAATTTCACGGGGCAGTCATTTGAATGATTTAGTGTTTCACATATAACGCCAAGGTTGAAACTTTATAATAAAGAAGGAGTTTAGAAACTACAAAATAGATAACACTGTACATTTATTAAATTTGGTATGATTTTTAAAATAAAAACCTATCATTCAATGAACGGGAAAATTTTTTTTTTTCTACATTAAAAGTAAAATTAGAGAATTAATTTTTCAGAATTTAAGTAATTGAATTGAAACGTTAATAAAAGACGGTATCTTGACTATTGAGGGTTCCTCTTAATCTTTGCATCCGTATTAAAAAGCCGCTACTGTATTTAACTGCCGCCAGAAAATATGCTTTGAAAACTTTTTAGCATCTAAAAAGTTTCGCTAAGGAACATTTCATGAGAAATTTCAAATCAAAATGTAAAGTGGAATTTTCAAAGAAGATAATTGCCCCTCAAATGAAGATGTGGATATATGCGTGTTAAAACAATGTCTAGAACAGCAGAAGAAATTATATGCGTAGTCAACAGTTTACAGATAATATTCCATCACCACTAACACAGTAAAATTAAGCTAAATAAATCTAAAAATAGTTTTAAAAAATATGTTACATTTACTCGTATATAAGGAGATTTAGGAGAAACGCAGAAACTCAAGTTAACAGTAGGTATTGCCATATATATGTTCTTGAACTGTAATCCCTGCCAAGACAACATACTAAAAATATTTCTACTCGCATCTCGGTCAACTACTCCTCATAAAAATTATTCAGAAGTTCGGAAACGTCTTAGAAAAGCAATATAATTATCCACATTTTGTTGGAAAAACATCAAGACAAATTTGATTAGAAGCTCGCAGGTATACAGCGCCAATATGTATATTATATAATATATAAATTCTGTTAATATTTTCTCAGCTTTAAAGATGGCCTCAAGAAATTTGGTGTTCTTAAATTCAATACCTCATAGATTATTTATAAATTAGTTGCATGTAATACGTTCTAAAGACATACTGAATATGTGAATGATTCATAACATTTCAATTTCTTACCATAGCAGTTATAACCCCTAACTCTTTCTAGAAACTGAAAAATGAATTTATGACCTTTTTTTGGTATTTGAAGTGAGACTTAATTTAGTATTGAGCACTGTTGTAAACTGACAGGAGTTTTTCTTAGAACTCAAAATCTACTTCACACTGTTAAATCAAATTAATTTATGTATGTACATATATAATTGGCACTTTATAACCGCTAAAGCGATTTACTGCTAAGCCTCTCTTGCAATTCGCGTTTTGGTGTTTTTCCAACAAATGTTGGGAGGTACATTTTATCTTAAACCAGCTTTGAACAGCTTAGGGATTTCTTAAGAAAAATTCATTCATCATTAAATTACAATAGTTATTTAACACTTCACACACACACACACACACAAATTACATTTGCATAAATTCAAGTTTATTTTAAATCAATATAAGTATGTATGTATGTATGCATGCAATAACAATGAGTATTCATTTAAATAATAAATATAAAAATTAATTCAATATCTTCCACATACACTTTCAGGCGTACAATTCGAAAAACTTGGCGAATATCTCCACTCTCTTCTCCGCGTCCGATTCGGCATTAAACGTTCGATACCACTCAATCATTTTCCGTTCATTCACACGCTGTTCAGCCGACAATTTCGCCAAATAGCTATCCATGCGAGCGTTAAACTTATCGGCGAAAGTGAGAAAACGTTCTAAGAAATCCACCTGTAATTTATCCAAGCCATTTTTCTTTAACGACATCTCCAAATACAGGTTTTCCGTTGTTGTTGCATTCGCCAGCGCCGTTGTATTGTGTCGTTCCACAAGTTCGGTAAATAGTACAACCATATCGTAGAGTTCTCCCACCCTTTCATCATCACTTAATTTATCCAAACTTTCGGCGCGTGCTACGAAGTCCGAAAAATTTCCCAGATGTGCTAATAAAGTCGCGGTGGGTTCTTTAAGTGTTGAAGCGTCTTTAAGAACGTTGCGTAAAACTTTAACGCCATGTTCAACGGTAAAATTTGAGAGTATGGCGAATTGTTCCAGTGTGTAGAAAAGTAATTTGTCACGTTCACTCCATTCGTCATTATCGTTGCTGGGGTTGTTGGTATCGTTAGTTAATATGTTGTTGTTATTGTGCTCGTGATCAATGCGGTTATCTGCTGATGATTCAATGTTGTTCTGATGTTGATCTTTAAACAATTTACCAGAACTGCTCACATCGTTTGGCTGGGGCAAGGCGTTGATAAACTATGTTGTTGATATGAAAATATATTTATGTAATAATTATATTTAAATTTGACATTAACAATAGTAAGAACATACATTAACACCCACCTGTGAGAGCAATAGCAAATAGCTAAGTAACATTGTGACTCTTCTGGACATTTTTGGTAACATCACTTGAGTATGTATGTTTGTATGTATGTATGAACCTAATCAAACAATTTTATTAGTTTAATAAATATGCAATTTTGTATCATTCAAATTTTAATATTTACTTACTATATATACATGTATATATTATTTGTTTGTGTATTATTATTAGTGCTATTATTATTTGTACAAACAGCCTCCAACTTCTAAAGCGTCTCAATTGCAACTAAATTAGCGTCTAGCAATTTTTAATACACGAATTCGTTTTCATTATCGCCTACGTCGTATAAGAATAAAAGTGAGCAAGTCACCGACAATGTTTACATATCAAACGTACAGAAAACAATATTAATAATGAATATGTATATTTAATAAATAACTAAAAAAAAATGTATGTTAAATATGAAAGTTCAATGCGGTCAAGTTCCAGTGTAAATTGTTTTCTGCACTGAGCGCCACCGATCATCGGGTTGATATCAGCAAAGTGTCTTTTTTTTAAACAATTAAAGTGAATATACTTCGCATGTACATATGTTTTACATGCATATATATGTGTGCTCGCATACAACATTAAAAAATAATTTGTAAGACTTTTTGTCATTAGAATTTATTATTTTTAATTATCGGTTAACTATTGCCAGTTTTAAGTAGTACATAATCATATCTATACATATATTACCCATTTTGCGTTTTCGAAAATAAACTTAATTTTAGCATTTAAACTAATTTTTTTTTTTTCTTGAAAATACCTTTTTTATTGTGAAGGTTGGCGCTTATACTTATACAGGGTGTCCTAAAATTAATACAAATTTTATTTATTTAAAAAATATATATTTATAAATTAAAATTTGTGTAGATAATTAGATGTTTAGAAATATAGATTGTATTTATTTGATGGCGGCTCTTAAAATTTCTGCTGCCCGTTTTGTGGGTGAGTGACACGATAACTGTAAAACGAATCATCTGAAAGCAAAAATCAAAACGGTTTCTTATTCTGTATCACATTGACTATGGCCGGAACTACAATAAAAAATTTTCACAAAAAAAAAAAAGAAAATGGCGGGCCTTCCTTTTTATAAACCTTTTTTTTTAAATTTTAATTGTTTATAAATTTTTTTAAATAACAATCGACCATAGAGAGACATTTTAGGAGTAAAATCTCGTTTGATAAGTTCAATATATACTATATACGTGTAAGAGTGTCAACCAGTCGAAAAAATGTGGTTTCAAGAAAAAGCCGATTAAAGAACTCGGATTTACAGCTTAGCGGGTTCCACTCCCCCCTCTTCTATACTAACTTCTTGGTCTTGCAGATCTTCGGGGCTAATTATAGATTATTTCTAAGAGAATTTTCTAGCACTTTATAGCAAAAACTGAATTTTGAATTTTGAATTTTTTTTAGAGAAACCTAGCCTTAATTTTGGTGCCATTTATGTAGTAAGATTTTGACAATCGACAGCCGACAGTTTGAGTTTAGTAAAAATAGAGCATTACACGATAGAACAAAGTGCCTTCATTATTGAACAATATTTCAAAAATAAATATAAAAATAAAAGCTTGGTGGCCGCAGTTTGAAAAATTCCGGGAGATAAGATCCGTTAGAGACATCAAAGAGACTGGTCGTCCAAAAACAAATCCATTAAATGACAATATCGATGCAGTGCTTGGGAATTGCATTTTTCAAGAAGCACTTTACAGCGTATACTCACTAAAGATCTGTGCTCTGTGCTTACAAAATTCAGGTAACACAACAACTCATACAAAGCGAAGAAAACTTTTGTTGAATATATTATTAATCATTAACAAGAGTAAGCCTATTTTTTTCGAGCAAAATCATCATAAGTGATGAAGCACACTTTCATCTTGATGAGTTTGTTAATCTTTGCTATTTTTTAGGTTCTGAGGACCCCCGTGTGCATGCCACTGTTCGGATTTGCGGCTGGTAGCATAGTTAGACCATACTTTTTTCAAAAATTGGCTAGTCAAGCAGTGTCGGTTACATGTGATCGCGATATAAAAACCCAGCATATTTTGCCGATATTGGATGATATTAATTTGGCCAATCTGTGAATTCAATTCAGCAAGAGAAACAATGTAATTACTGCATGAGACATTTCTGGTTCGTGTACTCTCACAGTTTGGTTATCAGAACCGGCCTCCAAGATTGTGTGAAATCTAATGGTGTTATTCTTTTTATGGGGTTTTTTAAAATCACAGGTCTATTGCAACAAGCCCCCAATCACAAGTATCAAGGATGAGAATCAACGTTGCATCAATGAAATTTAACAGAATAGTGTTATTCCTTAAGTCACCCTATCCTATGCACTTTATGATTCAATTAAAAATAATTCTATCGAAGGACCAAAAACTGTATATCCTAATCAATTCCAATCTTGTGTTATTTTTAAGATACTCTTTGTGTGAAACACTACATGATTCAAATGACCGTTTTGCGAATTTTCGTAAATTTCGATCAGTTTAAGGTAATGTTCGATTACTTTTCGGCACAAATCTCAGCCATAACTTGACTAATGTGGATTTTTAAGTGCTCAACAGTTAAAGGCTTATCAGCACAAATACGATTTTTCCTGCAGCGTGACAAAAATAATTCAACAGTGTCAAATCACATGATCTCAGTGATCAACTAACATCGCCAAAGCGAGAGAACACACGGCCGGAAAATTTCCCTCGCAATAAAGCCATACTCGCTAGGGCTGTGTAGCATGTGACATCATCTTGTTGGAACCACATATTATCCAAGTCATGTTCTTCAATTGCAGGCCAAAACAATTCGGTTATTGTCGTTTTCAAAGAAGTAAGGACCAATAACACCTACGGACCAAAGAGTGCTCCAGACGGTAAGTTTGTTTAGGGTATAATGCCATCTCTGTACTTATTCGGACATTTTGGAAGCCAAAAATACGAGAATTTTACTCAAATGCGTATTCCCCGAGAGTTAAAAAGTGTGCCTCGAGGCTGGAGAAAATTTTATTTTTGAAAAATCGCCGCTCACAGCTTATTGTTCAATCACTCAATCGCGTGAAAATAAAGTAATGAGACTGATTATACTGCTGCGAATGTGGTAACCCTGCGACCTTGAAATTCCCTTTTCTTTTCCTTATCCTCTCTATTGATATATCTGCCTTGGCTCTAGTTTGTTTAGTTCGCCTGCTGTGTCGTTTTGAGTAAACGTGTATTCGTGGTGCTTCTCATGAAAATGGCAAACCGCAAATCAAGTCTACTATTGCTAAGCTCTCAGCGTGTCCCAGTATTTGGCCTCTAAATGGATCGCCCGATATGTCACCCTGTGACCTTTTTTGTTCGGTGGTCAAAGGAACCTATTTTGAGTCGATTGAGGACTTCCAGGCGTCCATGACGAGGGTACTCGCGCACATACCAGTTGAAGTGTTCCAGAAATGTTACTAAGCATGGAAAATGCGCTGGAATCGGTGTATAGCCGCCCCAGGAGACTACTTGGAAAAGGGATAGCAGAGTTGTAGAATAATTTTGATATGGTTTTTATGAAATCAGTCTCATTACTTAATTGTCACACCTCGTACGTCGTTGTGAATTTATTTGCTGTGTGAAATGGACTTTATATGGATCTAGGTATGAGTCCAAGTACAAAATACGCCATAATGTTAATTATATTGAGGTGGAATCGTATCTGTAATATATCCAAACTTTGCAAAACTCTTTAACATTTTACAAATTGCTTGAAAATTTGGACGATTATAATCGTCTTAAAGCGTGAAAACTTTCCACTTCCTGTTTTAAATTACCGAATTTCTTTGGATTGAAACTTGTTTTACTCATCGCAGATCAACCAAATACTTCCAAATCCATAAGGTATAACCCTTTCTTTATACAGTGAATATCAATTTGAACTTATCTCTACCGAAATTTGCTGAATAGGAAGAACTTTTCTTTGGCAAATACTTTTAAATGTTCTTAATAATAAAAGTCATAACGAAGCAAAAAAATTCAATTTAACTTCGACTCTGATGATTTCCAATGTAATTTTTTAGAATACCACATTTCAATTCATTGAAGTGTTTATGACTGAAATTTTAAACAATCGCTTGTATGGGGGATGTATGTATGTTAGTGCAATGTGCCCGTATCCAGAGTGATTATTCGCTCCTGTTCATCCACGTATCCACGAAGTGTAATGTAGTACGTTTTTCTACCAACGGAGATTTTCAGGCATGGCTTCCTCTATTTTTGCGTTTCCGCACCCTTTCTTGCCTGGCTAAGTATCTTGGTCTTCTACCTTTCTAACTTTTTTCCTTGATAAATTTCAGCGTTTCAAGAATCTCTTGCAACACATCTGCACTTTCCACCTCTAGACGGTTTGCTGTGTACTAAGATCTACATAAGAGTGCGGCCGTTCCCCGTAACTAAGCATACGAGACAGTTTCAGCAACTCTTGGCTTTTAACTCGCAAACGTCTCCCGCTTGGTGTATTTGTCCTTTATTGTACTAGTAAACCTCTTGATTTTTGTTCTTTTGAGGTATTCTTTAAGGCTTTCTCCATAAGTTAAGTAGTTCTCACTGCCATAGGATCTTTCTCCGGCTGGCGTTAATGCTTCACAATTATCAATCTCACATTCGGGAATCGTCTACGAAATTTCTGCTGCTGGTCCCTTATGCGTAACGAATGAGGAAGCGAAATTTTTGCTCAATTATCAAGTTATTCGTTGTAGCCGTATTTGTGAACTGGAGCTTAAATCTCATTGACTTTGTTCTGAAGCCTAGCTTGGTGTTCTTTGGTTGTATCTTGTCCTTCTTTAAGTTCTGAGCTGTCTTTGACCAGATTCTCCTGAAGGTGTATGATGTGAGAGAAAGTAAGAGCATTCTAGTCTTGCAGTTGTTATTGTTGTTGTTGTAACCACAAAAATATTCACCAAAGTAGTTTCTGTGGAATGGTGCGGGAGTGACAGTCTTTGGCCGAATAAAAAATCAGGATTGTTCTGGTATAAAGACCCGACTGACGCGAGAATATTGCATTTTTAGTCGCCTCTTACGACGGGCAAGCCTTACCGTGGGTAAATTCTTGAACCCCTAGCTCGTATTGATCTTTCAGTTGTAGTGACATGCGTTTATTATGCGCATTTAATTTTTGTAAAATTAGATAAGCCAAGAGTCTTATCTTCAATCTTCGTAGATGGGTGATAGGAATCCTATACAGAGTCAACAGCTTCATCGTATCACTAATTCCATTTGTAGAGTTTGTATCGCCCAATTCTAAATCTTAACCACTTTCTGTTTGAATCTTTAGCGGATTATTTAATAATTCCTCTTCTGACACCAATTGTAATGATTTTCGCTAAATGCAACTCCTTGAATTCATTCGCTAGCGATGCTGGCACAAATTTAACTGAACTTGCTAGCAGTGAGCGATTCGCTTTTAAATATGTAGCCACATACTGTATCTTCTGGAATATTCGGTTTAAATGTTCTCGAAAACGAGCCTTAAGAACAAGTTATTCTAGAACAAGCTTTGTTTTCCTACTATGTGTTCTGACATATAACTTGTAACTTCTTGACCTACGACTTCAAATTTTAATACGAGGAAGCAATGCAAATTTATAATCACCACCAGAGAACAAATGAGCGTGAACTCATGGGAGTGAACTCATATGTGTGTCTGAAATTTATGCAGTGTAGATATTTTACACATTTTTTACACTAAAATAGTTATGCAAATGCAACCCTAAAACATGTGTTTATTGATTTTCTGCCAGTTACTCGTTGTCATTTAACGAACTTCCAATTGCTACTCGTTGTATCGAAACTGTCATTTTCCGCGAATCTTACCTCACAAGTGAATCGAGTGAAAAAAGTAAGATTAATTTTTCAAATAAAATATATTCAGAGTAAAATTTTTTTAAGCATAAAAAAAATTAACAGGTCTTTTAATTAAACTACATTTTCTGTGGATTTGTTGAGGTTTGCTTTGTGTTGATAGGGTCTGAAACTTAAAGGAATCTGAAAGCTGTTTGGTTGTGTAACACTCGCTGCTGGCTTGGTTTTGTAAATGTGGAACAATATTTTTTATACAATTTTTGTACAATTCAATTAAAATAGTGTCTAAACGTGCTATTTGTTTTTTTTTTATCATTAATAAAATATGAATGTGTATAAAACAATATTTAAAAGAGCAAATAGCTAGCGGCCAAAAAGTTACATAACCTCTGCTCTGTCATTAATAAAGTCTTCTGACCGACCCCCCAACCGCTAAACAACTTTATTAATTTTATCTAGCATTAATGATTTAACTCAACCAAAATTAAACTATTTACTTACATATGTACGTTATCAATTTTTTCTTAGTAAACAACAGTCAAATGGCTCTCCGTGGTATCAGTGTTTCCATGCAGCGTCAGCTGTTCAAGCAATTGCTCAAGACTGCTCAGAGCGGCAGTGTTGCCTCCGTTCATACATTGGATAAGATTGGCAACCGAGAAATTGTCGGTCACGGCTGGAACGGTACTGCTTGCTATGCCGATCGTACAGATTACCCAATGCCAGCGATTCGCTTCCGCGAGGTGAACAATGAAATCAAGGCATTGCGCGAAAAGGAGAAGCAGGATTGGAAAAAACTCAGCCATGAGGAAATTAAAGCACTTTATCGTGCTAGCTTCTGTCAAACATTCGCTGAGATTCAAGCTCCAACTGGTGAATGGAAACAACACTTGGGCATGGGTCTTATCTTTACCAGTTTAGCCATTTGGATTGCTATCCTGATGAATTTGTTCGGTAAATTTAATAAGCTATTATTATACCCGACTGTAGCTACACAGAATCGTAATATGTGTAGATATTAATATACATATTAAAGTCCGAAAAGTGCCATCAGTATAGCTAAAACAGTCGGGAGCATAATGTTCGGTTGCTTCCGAATTAAATTCTCTGCTTGTTTCATCTGACTATATTCATATTTTTCATTTATTAGTGTACGATGAATTGCCAGTTACCTTCGATGAAGAACATCAAAAGGCGCAATTAAGGCGTATGATTGACTTGGAAGTCAATCCAGTCACCGGTTTGACCTCCAAATGGGATCACGAAAACAAGAAATGGAAGTAAATCGAACGAGCTAATTGTGTTAAATTGTGCTACTTCTGCACCTAATTAATAAGTCTAAAGCAATTCAACTCTACAAAATATACCAACAAAAATTGTAATAATAAAAATATGTAAACGTTATTGCTACATATATTGTATTTAAAATAACTTTAAACAGTATGTGAAGAAAGATAAAAATGCTAATTAGAAGCTTTAGTGAAAATTTGAAATAATGAAACGTGACACAACTTACAATTGTCGAGTTTTAACAAAATACATCCAAACTATAAAAAAAAATTATGACAAAATATTGAGTGATTGACTGGTAAAAGGCGAATATCTTCAGAATAATTACAACCATCAGTTGTGCTTTAGGGACGAATAATTTGCTAGTTATAGAGGGTGTCGATTGGATAATCAAACCTGGTGTTGTTGTTGTTGTAGCCGTTCGCTAACCCCGCTTAGGTACAGGTTTGATTAATCTAAGTCACCGAGGTCATCTAATGGGAGGTTCAGGAAAAGAGCTTTTTCGACGGGATTGGACCAAAGGGAAATGGGGGGTTAGATGAGTCGATTTAAGGGCGCATGTGAAGAGGTGGATATGCCGGAGTCGAGTCTGGACAAGTAAGAGTTTTACCTGCTACAGTATCCAGACCTAAGTTGTGCCAAGGTCACGCGGATCTCTGAAGACAGCTCGAGCTCGTTGTCTGCTATGGGAAGTGGTTTTACTCCGAGCACGTCATTCACTGGAAGGGAGTCTTTGAAGGTGTTGACTGACTCCTGGTGAATGGCGTTCAGTGCTTGTCTGTACGCTGCCCTTTCTAGCGGTTGTTGCACATGTTGCTGGATTGTGCCCTTTTAATCTAGTACTCCCTTTCTGATGTGCTTGGGCGGAGGTTCACCTTCTATTATTTATTTATATATTTTCTGTTACAGCAACAACAAGATCTTTCGCTAGGACTCACCCATCTTTGGACCTACCTTGAAGATCTGCACCATATAGCACAAAGTTACACGCAAAACTGAAGGTTATTTTGCTTACTACTGAATTTACAGATTGATATAAAATACATATTTTCAAAACGGTCTATGATCACTCAAAAAATGACTGAAGACTTTTTAGTTGATCTCATCCAATTACTACTGCACTTGTTGTGCGCCTAGTAAATTAGAAATCTTTCCACACTTCAACCCAAAAAATATTGCCTGCAACATATGGCGCCTGAAAGTATGCCCAATGGGAGCAATTTCCGGCTGGGAGGAAATCAAATTCACATCTGCTTAGGCTACTTACTGTCTTTTTCTGGGTGCCTCTTACCTAGCCAATATTTGTAGAATAAATCGGATAACCATCGATAATGTCGAAAAATGGTCAAAACCACACAACCAAGCGATCAGAGAGTGATGGAAGGTGGTGGCCCTTTGGGATGTAAAGTTCGGTATCAAACGAGGTTTTAGACAGGGAACGAGTCAACTTTGAGCAAGTTCTTCAGTTTGTTGCTGGAGAAAATAATAAGATAAAGTAATATATTTTACAACTACTGCGGGCGTATGTCGATGATATTGATATTTAGGCCTTAACAACCGTGCCAATAGTTCTGCACGGGTCTGGTAGGGAGCGACGAACTATCTCCTGTCAACAAACTAACAGCCATTGCATTCGCGACTTGGGTTTTATGTTACTGTTAACAGCCATAAATTTGAGGTCGTGGATAATTTCGTCTATCTTGGGAGCAGCGTCAGCCGTGAAACCCAACGCAGAATAACCCTTGCTAGGAGCTGTTTTGGATCTGGAAGTCTTCGAGAATAAAGTTTTGCGAATGTTTTATAGTCCTTTGCGTATTAGCAACGGCGAATACCGCAGCCGATGGAACGATGAGCTGCACGAGTTATATGGTGATATTGACATAGTTTAGCGTTTAAGAGACAGCAGCTACATTGATAACGTCATGTCGTCCGAATGGATGAAAGCACTCCAGCTCTGAAAGTATTCCATATAGTACCTGCTGGTGGAAACAGACGAAGAAGAAGAAGAATACATCCACTCCGTTGAAAGGATCAGGTGGAAAGGGACTTGATTTCATTTGGTGTTTTCAAAGGACGACAAAAAGCGAAAACAGGATGAAAGGCGTGCCACTGGTGATTGCGGAAGCGGTGCCAACGCCAATAAAGAAGAAGAAGCATTCATACTGAACTACGGGAATGCTACCTACAAACATATGCATCAAACTTCAGGGAAGTCGAAACATAAATAAAGTTTTTTCGAGCAAATCAATTCTCGGTTCACCTCCAGAATAAAAGTTTGCTCCCTACGCCCGCCGGGTAGTTTGGGCGATCCTACCAAAAAAAGAAGCATACAAACAAACCTTTTTATATATGTACGTATATAGATTTCCACTTTATTATTTATTGTTCGCTTTGCTTGACTTTTGATTCTGCATTCCAACATTGATTTAAGCGGTTTATACTTGTATTCTTCGCTTATGTTTGCTCAATACTTTACCATTTAAATGTTAATAGTTTCTTTACTGTTATTTAGGTATATATATCTACATATATCAAACGTATATTTTGGTTTTATTAATTAAAAATATATTTAACAAATGGCACGAAACCTAAATAAATGCAATATATGTATTGTATGTATGTATGTCTGTTTTGTAAAATGAAAAAAATAGAGCAAAATTTTGACTTATTTCGTGGAACATCATAGGACTTGCGTACTTCAGAGGTATAACAAATCAATCCCACAATATAATGACAATAAAAATGTTTTTTTTTTGTATTATCCATTAATAATTTTATTTATAAACAATTTGTATATATGTAGTTGTATTTTTACGTATATATTGAAGCATATAATTTATTGCAGTTTTATTGGCATTTTACTTTGATTCTCATAAGCTTTCACAAATTTATAAAAAAAAGTGAAATAATTTTCAAAAGTTAATAAGAAAAATATTTCGTTACTTTTTTTTACTTAACTAAGTTATGAATTTATTTAAATATCTTTCAATTTAATCAATTTTCAAATAAATACGCAAACAAAATTTTTCTTATACATGCTTATTTTTATTTGTTATTTTTTAGTTTAATATTAATTATTGTAAATTTATCATTGTTAGTTAATTAAAAATAGCTAATATACTTAAATTTGCTCTTGCGGCTGGCATAAACGTATGGGGTATTTGCAATTTTTTTTTAACTATTGCAGCAATTTTTATGCCTCGCAGCTTCTTCTTGATTTTTTACAAGATGCTGTTTAAATATTTCACTTACTGCGGTCTAATATGTACTATTATTTATTTATTTTTTATGTTTTATATATTATAATTATAGTTAGACATACTTTTGGTTTGTAGGGTATAAAAAGTGTTAAATTCAAAAAATTGTAAATACACATACATAAATACATTTATTCTAGCACATTTATGCTTATTATATTTCATATCATTAACTATTTATCCATTTTATACAGTTATTAATTAATTTCATTTCTTATTATTAGCAAAATATTTTATATTTGTGTATTATATTTTTGCATGGCAAATTAGTTGCCACTCATTTAATTTTAAGCTTTTCTTCTGACATTATTTCTATTTGTTTGTTTTTTTTCTTTCTATTTTTTGAGAAAAATTGGTTTAGTGAAATATTTATTTAGTAGTTTCGAGTGTCGGGCTTTCATGCATTTTTTTACTTAATATATAGTTTAACTATTTACATACATTTTGTTAATACATATATATTAAATAATTACAACTTATGTTTAATTTGGTATTTTATTGTGTTTTTTTACTTATTTATTTTTATTTTACTAATGCATGACTTTCTCTGTTTTAGTAAATTTATGTATGCGTAGTTTGTTGCTATTGTAAATATATTTAGACATTTAACATTAAGCTATTTCACTTCGAATTAGCATTTACTTGTTTGTATGTGTGTCTTATATTGCGTTTATGTATGTATGTACAATACATGTATGTATGAATATATGCTTTATGGGTAAGAAAAAGTAGAAAATTAGCGATTCTTTTAAATTCCTACTAGGTCAATTAATTATTTTTATTATTAATTTTTTTCTTTTGGATTTTTAAATTAACTCGCTTTGCGTGAGCGATTTTTTTCTCAATAATTTGTGAAACAAGAAACAGAAATTGGTATTTCGGTCTACGAAAAAATTTTTTAAACTCGATATTTATTTATTTTATGCGACAAATAAGTAAAAAATAAAAATTTTCAGGAATAAAGTCTGAGCGAGCATTTGAGGCTATTGATAAAACTCAATGTACTAAGTTAAATTGGTAAAATAAATTATTTTTCAAAACATTCTGGTCCCGCTGAAGCTAGAATTGGATTTTTCAAAGACTGTAATAAAAATATATATTTTCTTTTTAAACAAATATGTAACTACTTGTAATTATAATTTAAAATTTATGCCCGAAGATAAAAAAATATATTAAAATAATTTATTTGCAAAAATTATGAAACAATAAAACAAATAAAAAAAAAATAAAAAGTAATTAAAATATAATTCAAATAATTTATTGCAATAGATATCCACAACTTAACAAACTTTCAAAAAAAAAATCATTATAATCAAAAATAAAGTATTTCATGTAGAACGCAAATAATTTATTGCAAGAAATAGGCAAAACTTATTAAACTTTACCAAGAAATAATTATAATTAAAGAAGTATTTAATAAAAATTACATAGAATTTAAAAAAAATTTAATTAAAATAAACTTTACAAAGAAATATTAAAAATTAACAAAAAAAAAAAAAAATATTTAATATAAAATGAAAGAGCCAAAACTTATGAAATTTAAAAATAATTTAATGCAAGAAATAGCCAAAACTTATAACACTTTACCAAGAAATACTTCAAAGTAAAAAGGTATTTAATAAAAATTATATAGAATTTAAAAAAATTTTGAAACTTCACAAAAAAATTATTTAAAAATTAACATGATAAATATATTTAACTTAAAATAATATATGAAACTTTCAAAAAAAAATTTTAAATATGTAATCTATAATTAAAATAATTTATTGCAAGAGATAAAGCCAAGAAGTGAGAAAATAATTTCGAAATTATAAAAAAATATTTGGCAGCGTATTTTTTTGATTTTTTCATAATTTGCATTTTTAACAAGTGCATTTAAAAGTGCAATTTTTAGTTTACTTTACTTATGGAAATGGTAATATCTATAAAAAGCATCTAATTTTTTATAGTCTTTTTTTTGCTTTTTTTTACTTTAAGAATACCCTTAATTTTCCGGATCAGTGTGCCGCCTTGCAGTCGTGACAAATAAAATTTTCTTAAATGTAACTGCTTTCTTAGTAAATCGTGTGCGATTGTGTTTTGAAAGTAGTGCAAGAAATTTTATTCGTACAAAAAAAAAAAAAAATTAATTAACAAGGAAAACAATAAAAAATCAAATGTAATTCAGTGAAATTAAGAGATGCTAGATTATGACTTGTGTATTACTCACTTCGGGCTTTTTTGGTAGAAATTATTACAAAAAAAAAATAATCAAAGCTATTGTGATAAAAATATATATTTTTGTAGCTCCACAGTTATTGTAGTTTTTCTTGTTGTTATCATAAAATAGTTTGCATTGAAATATTGACTAAAAACTGATTGATTTTGCAGTTGTCAATAATATTTATTTTTGTCTGCAAAATATCAAAGTTGCATCGTACGAAAAATTTGATATTAAATGAAAAATATCAACTGCTTAGGTTTCGTTAAGGCTCTCAACGAGTGTGACACTTTCAAAAAATCGATTTTTTTTACATTCTCCCATAGCTTACTTCGACCCCGGATGCGTAACTGTAATGGTTTCGGAGTAATTCCAAAACCCGTGAGAGCAGTCATGCAAGTTTAAGTGTAAGATTTTTTTGTAAACCACGTTTTACTCGAAACAGTGTTTCCGAAATTTGCTGTCATTGTAGTTTAAAAACTAATCATCTGATCGATTTCAGGCATAAAGTGACCGTAGAATATTTTAATTCGATTAAAGTTGTAAATTTGGCATGAAAAATACCGTCAGATTTTTGAGCTAAATTTTCACATTTTTTTTTGGATTTAACTTTTTTGTTTCACTTTATTGTTCGTACAATCTTCTTCAATGCCTTTTTTTTGTTTAATTTTTTTCATTTCAACTACCCTGAAGACGGAAATGAAGAAATTTTCTTAAAAAAAATTTCCTAAAATCACATTTTTTTGCTCTCACACTGGTTGAGCCTCTCAAAGTAGTTACCAAAATAAAGTTGAATTCGTTTTTTACCGAAACGAAAAACTGTCGTTAATGTTAAATCATTAACAGACAATGTTAAACCGTTAACAGACAACGTTACAACGTTAAGGCATAATGTTAAATCATAGAAACCAGATTTAAATCATGCTCTCGTCCAGATTTCATTGCTTCAATATGAGCTGAGCCATTTAAAAAATTGCTCCAAATATTAAAAAAATATTGTTTTTTTTTCTTTTGGTAAAAACATAAAATTGCCACCAGAGTCAGTTTTGAATTCCCTAAACAAAGTTCACTTTAATGTTGAGCATTTACAAAATGTTCATTTATATATGTACATATCTCATTATGATACATACAATCAGACAAAGAAACAAACACACACATAAAAGTACTTACAAAGCCATGCATATGAATTTTTGATTTTAAGCGAATATGTAGGTATGTCTGTCGTTTAGTGCTAGTTATAAACATAGGTAAGTTGGTATTTTATTTATTTATTTATTTTTTGATTAGTTTTATTTTGGACTCAAAGCTCTTTCTTTACATAATTTACTCCGCTCCAGCCGAACTATCTGGCGTCACATTTGAGTCTAAACTTGCGCAATCGCTCTCCTGATCCTGATTCTCTGAGTAATTGGCAGCCTCCTGTAGCCGCATGAGCATGTTTAACTGTAGAAAAAGGATATTTGTTTTTGTTTAAAAACATAAAACACAATTCAAACAGAATTAAAATAACTTACCAGTGGATCTGGATTGTCGCCACTACTGACCGTCACACCCTCCAGACCTACATCCTCTGCGTTTATCTGTCTCAACGGTGGCACTGAGTCTGGTCCATATGGCCATGGATATGAATTGCGTATGAAAATGGATGGATCATTCCATGCACCACCACGTCGTCCATATAACTGTACACCCTCACGCACCGCTTCAACCAGGTAGGGTGAAAGATGATAATTCCAAATATCTGTAAACCACACCTGCGAGTCTTTTAAGTCCAATGGACAGGCGAGAAAGAGTCTTGGTCCGATTGTGACATCACTGGAACTGTGCGCTTCCAAAAAGCGATTTATATGTTGCCAAACGCTAGGCAACCAAGCGAGTACAGTGGCCAATTCCGGTTGGGGATGACCGGTTTGTAGTTCGAGTTGGAAGAGACGACGACGCAGAAAGCGGCCAAGGAAACCTTTCACCGGTTCCATGTGGTTGGCAGTGAGAACCTGTAAAGTGAGGTAGAGAGGAAAGTTTTTAGGAGTTTTAAATTTAAGATATGCCGTCGAGGTTATCTAACAACCCAGCAATGCATTGAACTGCTTTGAAATATTCATATCAAAGAGTCATGTAACGGAGTTTTTAAGACAGTTGAGGACGACCAGATCGCCATCGAGGCTCTCCAATGTAATCATATCACCTCAAAAGTGGCTATAAAAACCAGAGACATGTTAAACAAACTCTCGACTGTCATAGGTCGTAGGGACATGGGAACTGTGTAATCGACGCACTGATTGAGGTAAACATAATTACCACAAGCATAAGGACCGGCGTAATAACCACACACGGTCTTATGTGGACTCATAAGCTGCTACTCGAACGAGAGCTGCATGGACTTAAAACAGGAGGAAGCGGTGAAACATTAACTCTGTCACTGCCCAGCTTTCAGTGCCATCCGCTATCGTTTTACCGGAAATTTCTTCTTCCATTTCCTTGTAGAACTTGAATCGGTAGGCATTAATAACCTAATGAATTACATAAAACACACTAAGTGAGTTGAGCCTTTGGAAAGGAGACCAACATAGGCATCACAACAGGCCAGTAAGTCTTCCAGGGTTCCGTGATCAGGCAACCTGTGAGGCTCTTGCTCTTCAAATGTTGCATCCTAAAAATTTCTTTTGTAGGCTCCGTGACATTTGGTATGCCCATTTTTTTCTCACTCATATTATGCGCTGAATCGGGTGGCAAGATCACCGTTATGGAAGGCACCATGGTCGTCTAAGGGGCCCAACTCACCAAATTCTTTGTTAAACTCAGAGATGCAAAAATAATTCCCAAGAAGATCTAACAGAATGTTGTGGGACTCTTCATTTACCTTCGCTTCAACTATACTCATAATAAAGATGCTACACTGACAAAGATTTCATCTTCAAGGTCGATTTTGAAAGAGGAAAATCTAAGCTTCTTTTATCGAATTTTCCTAGTTGTACAACTTACCCATCGGAAATTGTGATGCAGCTGCAGATTGGTTGTATTGCACGTGGCCTGCGACATAGTACCAATTATGCAAGGCAATTTTCCAGCCGGACCAGCGCTCAGGAGGCAGGAGAACACATCGCCCAAAGCGGATGCATGATGTAGATTATCTAGAATTATCACAGATGGTAGTTCGGAAGCGCCATTCGCAATGGCGGCTTGCTCCGCAATATGGCCTAGATATTGACGCAGTTCTTTTGAAGATTTGTGGTCGACGCTGTTAGGAATATAAATTTTGTTATTTTTTTTCTCGAGACACGTATAAGGGAACTTACTTAAACGTTGCAATCGCTTCAGAAGGATTACCGCGTCCGGTGCGCGCTACCAGAAATTCTGCTAACCTCCGCGCCAAGTAAGATTTGCCAGTGCCACTTGGACCGCACAGGATTAAGCGCCGATGTTCGGTGAGTAAGCTTATGTAGCGGTGCACAATGCTACGTGGTATCAGGCTATCGAATGCTAAGCTACCCACGCCTTGCAGACAGATATACAGCGTGCGTACATTGCCAATAATATAGCCGCAGGGTAGCAATTCGGGGAAACCCATCTCCGGACCGCGCTTCGCCTCACCCAAGTGATATGATGTAATGGAGTCTGTATTCAAACCCAAATTGGTACCGGGATCAATACGCGACACATAATCCTTGAACGTTTTACGCACGATGTAATCCAAATTTTGCCAGGTTGTCTTGCCCGATATGTAGGTATAGGCGACGACAAACTCATTCAGACTGGCTGTAGGAAAGGATTTTCGTTCATTTATGCCATCCGCATCGACGCCATTTGCATAGAACTCATCTGTTTCAAGCATCTCTTCGCAGTATTTGACGAATGACTCAGGCTGGCCGAGGTAACAAGCGATGGCGATCTTCTTGCCATCGGTGACATCGGGCAACTCCTCTACTGCCGCACCTGCGATGTGCGCTGGACTGGGCATTGTGTCGAGTGCGGGCGGCGGTGGCGTCAGATCGATATGGGTAGCGGGGCTTAGTGGCGGCGGTGGTGGTTCAGGTGCCGGAGCCGGCGGTATGTTTTCTTCTTCGACTTCTTCTTCTAGACGTTTTGGCAACTCCATTGGAGGACGCGCATTGCCGTCCGCTAACGAGTAACGACGTGATTCACCTATGGAGCCGCTCGGGCTTATGGCATTACCCAGCGATGCCTCAGAGCCAGCTAACGAACGACTGGTAACCAATTTTTGCAAACGCTCGTTATTATGCTTTAGCGACATCATCTCAGCGCGCATTTTATTTACAGTCTCCTTGAGACTCTCTAACTGTGATGCCGAGCTCAGTGCCTCCAAACGTATATCGGTCAATACTAAGTCCTTTTCGCGTAATTGTTTCTTGAGGTCCTCGACAACCTGATGGTCTTCATGATCGATTGCGTCGATGGGTTTGGCATTATCAATCAATGTTACAGTCTTCGCCGGACTACCTTTTGTGGGTGACGCATTAACAGCGGGCAGTGGTGGCGCAGGCTGTGTAGCCAACGCTGCTAAGCCGACTACGGGCTCGGCATGGTTATGACCATTCAATTTATTGTAAACTGCATTACCGACATTATCGATATGCAAGCCGTGTGCAGCTTGACTACCGATATTGTTGTTATTACTGCCAACATGATGATGTCCAGCGTGTCGACTAGTCTTTGAAATTTTGGCATTGCGTGAGAACGCTTTCGTGAAGGAGCTGCGCAGCCAACCCTTCTTCTTTTGTTTCTTATCCTGCGCGGAACAACCGGAGCTAATTGAATTCAGTGAGCACATCGAATCTGAACTGTGATGCCGTTGCATCACCCCACCTGCGACGGTGACGGTGGATGAAGGCGTCGATGAGGCGGTACCATTAGTAGGACCATTCTGATTTGACATCGGTTGTTGTGTGATAGCGGTACGTGCAAGTTGTTGCTGCTCAAGCTGCTGTTGTTGTTGTTGCTGTTGCTGTTGCTGTGTCTGTACGCCCATACTCTGCATGTGCGCTGAGGTGAGACCCGCTTGAATGGATTGCTTGCGTAGCAATTCAATAGTTTGTCGCATATCGGTTAGTTCGCCATCTTTGCGTTCAGCAGTAGCAGTCAGCTGTTGTAGGCGTGACGTCATGTTGGAGAGTGACTGCTCGAATGCGGCGACGACATGAGCCTAGAGGAAGAGAAAGAATGAAAAGTTCAGTTAAATTTGATGAAAAGGAAAATATTTATAAAAGAAATGTTACAGAATATACAAATTATAGTCTAGAGGACTTGGATTTTGTGAAATATACATATGTATGTACAATGAAATCTCCCTTAGGCGGCACTTACCGCAGGGGCGACTTTTGTTTCCCTAGCATTTCATTGGCTTTTTTGAGGTTTCGCCTAGGTGGCCCCTAGGAGAGGTTTCCCTGTGCCATATCCAATATATACTTTTTTTGTTTTTCATAAATTCAGATCATGAAAGAGAACCCATTTTTTATAAGAGAGATGTAAAAAGTATTTATTTCTCCTTAAATTAGCCTGAATCATTGTTGCAAAGGATTCCTCTTCAATCATGGTATACATATATATGTATGTATGTAAATGATATTTTTGTTTACTTCGAGCAAAGTTTAGAAAACCAAAACTATTTGTGCCTTCGAAAGAATTGTAAGGATAAACAGCTTCTCTTTAAGGAATTAAAATTTTGATTTTTTTATCGAAACAAAATGGAATTGTTACTATTGAAATCGCTCAAATTCATCAGTAAAGTTATTTTTAAAATGGCTGCCTGTTATGATATTAACAGCACACTCCGATTTTAACATAAACATTACATGTTAACGATTCAACATTATCTGTTACTGATTTAACATTGTCTGTTAACGATTTAACATTAACGACAGCATTTCGTTTCAGTTGAAAACGAAATAAAACGTATATTGATAACTGCTTTAACGATAAAATATCCAAATGTTTCAACCAAATCGATTGAAAGTTTTTAGTTTACGTAAAATGTATCGTTACGATGCTGTCTTGGTATAAATCATGTGATTAGTTTTCTAGAATGCTTCATATGTTTTTTTACATAAAGACCAAAAAGCATTCGTTAAAATATTTTCAAAAATTTTTTTCAAATAAAATGCTGAATGCACCCAAATCAAAATTCCAAATGATTGAAGTTCCATCAAATTTACGAGATCTTAATATAAATGTGACAAAAATTAACTAATAAATGTACGAACTCAAAAATAAAATTAGAGTAAAAAATATTTCAAGAACTCGGAATTCACTTGAGCAACTCGGGCAGAGCAAACTAACCCACATACAAAGCAAACAATGAGAGAATTAGCGGGTGGGCTGCATGGTATACCAAGTTGCAAAGAACAACAAAGCAACAGTGCATGCAACCGCAAATGGCACGAAACCGTTTCAACCACAACAAAAATAAGCAAAAAAAAACAGCAAAAATAATAAAGAAACAATTGCCACTTTCATGCAGTTGGCCGCAGGAATGTAATAATTTACAAAATTGCAAAGTGCAAAAATTCTATAAAAGTTTCATAGCTGGAAGCTAGGAAAGAAGATTGAAGCAGTGTCGCTGATAGAAGCTGCGAACTGTGGCGTAGAGCTGCTTGGCCGGCAATATGAATTGCGCATCAACTGACTGAGCTCATGATTTTACTACTTAATAACTATAATATGTGTAGATATGCTTTCAAGCTATCTCATATACTTTTGCATCCATTCATACATGCATACCTACCATTTTGTATACATATATAATATATATACCCGAATATGCTTAATTTTTACATTATTATTTTTACTATCTCTTATGTGCCACGCAGTCTGGTGGTTTGCGTGCTGCTTTATTTAAACAATGATCGATAAGATCTTTAGTGTTCTTCAAGAGTGCTAAGTTATGTTTTTAGTTGACTGTGCTGATAGATAAATTGTGTTTGGAGGAAAAACATACATACATACATTGTAATTGAGTTGCAGATGAGCCTATGATGCGAAAAATCATTCCCCAAATCTAGAGATATTTTGTGAATTTCATTTTCTCCCAATTTATTGATTACAAAATAGTGTACAATATCGCTGGAGCTCAACAAGAACCCTTAATTTATTCAGGTAAGTTTTGAAAACTTTTCAATTCTCTACTCAGTCTAAACCAGCAAGCAAAAGTGATTCTGTGTCAGACTTGAAACAGGCTTTGTTGTTGGCGTTAATCCTGGTTGCAAGATAGATGAAGCCCTTTCTATGCGATCCTCTTTTTTATGGATTGGGTAGAGCACACTTACGTTCCAATCGTCGGTCATACTGCTTTGTTGTTTTTTAACAGCCGATTGCTATTAAAATTTTTTCATAATAGGGCAACAAAACATCTGTTGTATCATCATCGATTGGGGACTCGAGTTCAGTATACTCTGGGCATCAGTTACGAGATCACCGTTTCGGTCTAACAAAAGTTTGCTCCTGTTTTGAAAACTTCTGTAATCGTTGTATCCTTTCGTAGAATATTCAAGCGTTACTATTCACCCCTGTCGGCCAACTTATCAAGCTCATTATGCTCACACATCTCGGTCTCTATATCTTTTGTCTGCATATGCGAAATGTTTCTTCTTCAATTCAATTCCACTCTCAACGAACTTAGACCAAACTCTACAAGTCGCTTATTATCCCGTCCTACTCTATGGTGTACAATATCTGATGAGTTAGAAAAATTTCGTGTATGATTCGAGGTCCTCAGCGAGTTGGAAATGGCGAATACCGCAGCCAATAAAAATTAGAGTTGTGCGAGATGTACGGCGTGATTGACGTGGCTCAGCGAATCTAAAGACAGCGGTTACGCTGGTTCGCTGGTCCAAAAGAAGAAGACAATGCTTCAGCTTTGAAAATTTTTGAAACAGTACTCGCCGTTAGAAAGATCAGGAAGAAGCAAAAGAAGAAAAAGAGGTTTGAGAACTCTATGCATATATCATTGGTACTGAAAGAGACATTCAGAACCTATCCTAATGGCTGATAAATCATTATGGAAAGCTTTTTATTTTTATTTTAGCCAGACTCGGACCCATGACTATCTTAGTACGTCCTACTATCCACTCAGCCACATAACCGACCGATTTTCATAATCTAGAAACACACTGTCCTACTCCTAAGCTAGTATTTTCATATAACTTTGGAACGGTTGCTAGAAGAAATTATGCTCAGTGAAAGAACCATTATCTCGGAATTTATGTAGTTAAACCGAGAGATTATGGTTTTTATTAGCCTCTGGTAACCAACCATTAATAAAAATGTAAAAAAATCCTTCAGGGTGTCAAACGAGGTATTTGGTTTAAAAGGTTAAGGAAATTTCAGTGCATGAGTTATTTTTTTAGGGACTTGAGAAAAGCAGAACATGATTCGTATTTTTTTTAATTTATTCAAAAGAAACCAGGATGAATTCAGGAGTTCCTTGAGCTGTGAACTGGGCACATCATATAAAATAATTAAACCATTTCCCAGTAATTACCAGTCTGTGATTTTTCGCAAACATTCAGAAAGTGCTTTCACCTTTTATAATTTTATTGAAGTTTACGAAAATCACCTTTCATTTTCTAGGCGACTCTTTCTTTCTGAGACATTGATTATTTTCCATTTTCATTCATCGTCCCATTTAGTTACTTTTCAGCTTCATTATGAAGATTATGATAGCTGTACCGAAGCTATATTGCAAACCCTTCGTTTAAATATACCAAAACTGGGAGACTAGTTTGCATCGGAACAGACTGGCGGCTAGAAAAAGTACCCCTCTCTTTAAATTCCCTAGCAAGTTTAACCAAAATTATAGCAATTTTGCATGCAATGGTGAGGGTGTAAAACCTGCACAATAAATACTTTTGTACAAACATACATAAGTATGTATGTGATCGCAATTCCTTATACTTGCATGTGTGTAAACAGAGTAATTTGTTGTCGCATCACGTAAGTAGTCGTACATAAAATTTGATTACAAGCAACGTGATGCGATGCGTCTGATAGTTGCAATGATGCTGCTGCCAGCCTGCCTGCTTATATGGCTGCCTGGTTACGTGGTGGTTTGCTACTGTCCCTAAAACCGGAACGGTTAGTTGGCTGCTGTAATTCGCGTATGCGTTGAGTCAAAGGTGAATATGTGTGCGTCTGTGTGTCAAAGAATTCTACTATGGATGCGGTTTGTTTATGGTAAGACATGATTAGAAGGTACACGGAAAAAAGGTTAAGAAATTGTGTATATGTAAATAAAATATAAGCTTCTTTTGTTAGCTTGGTGGTCAAAGTAACAACACCTTTGGGAATACGTTAGAAAGTAAGCAAGCGACAAAAAGTCGAATTTATTTGCGAAATTTCATCTAAAGAAGATAATGAGTGTAATTTTCTAAGAGCGATGGAATGTAATATATTAAAAATATTTAAAAGTTTTCTTTTTTTTTTTAAAAAGAGATAATTAAATGGTGTTACTAATTTTTTAAATATATAAATAATAATTTGCTTATCAAGCTTTTTCCCAAGCTTTTTTTACCACGTTTTTTTAATTGAAAAAAGTAATCAACTATTTATACATGAAATTGCAAAAATTCTCTCCAATGCACATTCCCCATTTTGTATGCAAAGACATCGAAAAATGCGCAGGAAACTTTTTAAATTAGTTAAACATTAAATGAAATTAATTCTGACACAAAATTTCGCTAAAAAGCACTTTGACTAGGTTTTCAAAGTTATTGGTACGAACACAATACGTACATATATATTATTTTTTGATTTTTCCATTTTCAATTGTAATGTCATATAGACGTCGTGGTCCTCATGTAATGAAATTTCTAACTTTGTTGCATATACATATATACATACACACTTATATATGTATGTATATAACTGAACTTAAAAAACGTGCAATATTTCCATGCGTCATAATCATGTTAGCAATTGGCGCTCGTAACTGTCACAACTAACACTGATAGCCATCGCACTCATTTAGAGCGACTAAAATTTGTAGTAATACTGACGAAAGTAATGACGATTATGTGCTTGGAATGAAAGTAATTAACAAATATTAATATTTAAATTCGTGTCACGTGACAATCGTTTAGACAATTATTAAGGCGATTAATTGGATGGAATTCCAAAGGCGGGCGCAAGTTGATTTGCGTGGATGTTTGT